GAGAGAGAGAGAGAGAGAGAGAGAGAGAGAGAGAGAGAGAGAGAGAGACGGACGAAAGGACTCCTCTGAGTGGCGTAGGATTATTGAAATGCACCTGGAAGGTAAACTAATTTTCTCTGCAGGTCAGAGGACTGGTTATGGTAATAAAACGAGTGATGTCATTAGATGCAGTGGTATTAGAAGAGTTCTCTGTAGGAGGAGGAGGAGGAGGAGGAGGAGGAGGAGGAGGAGGGGGGAGGGGGAGGAGGGGTCTGTCTCTGTCTCTGTGATATCTGTGTGTTTGAGATTGAGACAGAGGAAAAAGCGTGTTTTCCAATCTTCTCCCCTGCCATTATCTCTGTCTCCTCTGTGTATATGTTATTCATAAGCTTGACCTACATGTGCCCATGCTTGTGTGTGCAAGCCCGAGTGTGTCTGTGTCTGTGTGTGTGTGTGTGTGTGTGTGTGTGTGTGTGTGTGTGTGTGTGTGTGTGTGTGTGTCACTCCACGCAAGAGAAAGTGATAAGGTTCTGGTCCACTTTCCAAGATTCACCAACCACTTTCACGGTCCGACCACCCACTTTTATGTTTTTTTTCTTTTCTTACAATAGAGTGCGAGATCCGGATGACAGTCTCCGCTGTGTTGATGCTTTCATACTTGGTGTAACTCCGGTGCTGCTGGCCCACAGACCCGCTAGCACCTGCACAGCTCTTCCTTTATTCTCTTCCTCCTGCACAGACTGCTAAAAAAAAATGCAAAGCGAAGACGACATCAAATGTAAAACGTCTCAATGTGACAATCTGTGCACAATATTACATCATAAAAACAGACCTGTTTCATCGCTCTAAAAAAGAAACAAGCATGGCTGCAACAGATTGCCGTTAAGATGCTGTAGATTCTCGTTATTTGCCCAAAAACAAAATAAGATTCTGTGCTCGGGTTTAGTTGCTTCCTCGTACTCAGTGAACGAAATACGAGCTGTCTCCTAAGCAACAGCAAGTGAGTCCAAAGAAAGCTGGACTAAGCAACATTAGATCTTTGGCCTCTGTCGTCCCTTTGGTGTCCTTCTGCATGAAACATCACAGGCTGGCCTGGTTAGAAAACACGAGCGTGCTGTGAGCAGTTTACTGATGCTACATTACAGGAGTTCTGGGTACTGAGGGAACTGAAATTTTCAGTTCACTCTGGCTGCCATTAGGAGCTAACAACATGCAACATTGACTTTTGCAGCTTATGCCGTGAAGGAGCTGTGAGATGGACATCTTCTCTGTCCGTGTTTCCTCACGGACAAGGATGTTGTGGCAGAGTGCACGACTGACAGGATGTGATAACTTTATTGACCGTATTAAACTGTTCTCACACAGTCTGGAGTTGTTAGTTAGACCCTGTCACGCATGCGTACGTTTAAGTCAATTCGACCAAAATCACAGCACTTTGGGAAATGGAGCATATTAAGGGCTGCAGCTAACGGCTGTCTCAAGATGAGCTTTTTGATTAATAGATTAATAGCTTAGGCTGTAAGATATCAGAAAAGAGAGGAAAACGCCCATCGTAATGATTTCAGATCCCAAGGTGGTGTTTTCAAATCACTTCAGTTCAAAAAAGCTAAAGATATTCAATATAAAACGTAGAAATGCAGTAAACGCTCACGTTTTTAAGAGGCTGGAGGTTAAGCTAAATTAATAACTTTACAACACATTAATGAATCATAAAACTTGTTGATACATTTTATGTTGATCTACTAATTGTCTCAACACTAAACCAAACATTTTTTTGGCAAAAAGAGAGAAATGAATGAACACCTCAGACCTCATGTGGCTCCTGCCTCCTAGTCCTAGTTACCTTGAAGGCAAAGATGGATCTGCAGGTTTTATAGCTTATAGGGTCCTCCTAAAATCCGTGATGGCATTTTATTGGATAAAACATTTGTGTGTACACCATCGGATGAGTCAGCACTGAGCAGTGAGAGAAAAGGTGTGATATTGCTCTAGAAATGTGAGTAAATGCACTGTTAGACGCACAGAGTCTGTGGCATATAATGACAGATAGCCGTGCGAAACACCCAGGGGCACAAGGTAACCGCACAGAAGGCATTCTTCATTTAATTGGAACAAATGGAGGTCATTGCAGCTCTGCACAGTTCTACAACATTAAACCATCCTAATTACAGTAAAGGAACCTTATTCGGTGCCTTAGTGTACGTGCCTTAGTGTATGAGTGTATTTGTGTGTGTGTGTGTCTGCGTTGTACTGGTGTTGATAGTGTCCCTGGTTAAGCTGCAGACACCTTCCTCTTGACTGTCCCTCCCCCCCTCTCTCATCCCTCTCCAACTCAGGAAGTCCAAACGTGGTGGAGTCCATTCCAGACGATCCCACGTACAACGTGAGCAGCAAGCTCACCCTGGACGTGAGCCGCAGCGACGACAACGCCCTCATCACCTGCGCCGTAGACCATCCCTCTCTCGCGCCGGGGGACAAGAGGAGCGAGCGTGCTCTGCGGGTGTTGTGTGAGTCAACCGGGGAAATTGGGGAGGAGAGGAGTCACAGAGGATGCTGGGGGAGTAGAGGACAGACGGACGTGAGAGGGGAGATGCAAAGTTAAACCTCAAACTGCTGCCTTTATTTTTTAAATATTTCCACCTTTGCTATTCTCCTTTATTAGGCAGCGGAGTCACATTTTCCTCCTTTGCGATTTGATCTCTGCTGCAATAGTTTCACATCAGCTACCTGTAATAATGACCGCGCAGGAATTTAACCTTCCTCTGCTGGCGCACCTGATCAGACTTGAGTCACTGTGAATAAGAGGAGCAGGTTTATCATCTGAAATGAAAACCATAAATGGAGCCACGTCGGAGTCTGTGTAGGTGCTGCCACCCTGTGGGCGAGGCGGCAGCGCTGCATCGCTGAGGGAAAGTGATGTCGTTGTGTAAGGGGGTTATGTCATGGTGGGAGGCAGAGAGACGGGGACGCCTACAGGATGCAGATGGGAGTAGATTTCAGACGGGGATGAATGAGACTGTCAGTTCCCGTCTGCGCGCTTATGAGTCCTGTGTTATGTAACTATAATGTCTGTGTGTGTGTGTGTGCGCGTGTGTGTGTCTCTGTGTCTCTGTGTGTTTGTCTTCCACTTACAGATTCCCCTAACGCGCAGATCGTGCCTGAGAGCAATCTGCCGAGAGAGGGGGAGAAGTTTCATCTTAAGTGTTCGGGCAACGCCAACCCCGAGTAAGGAACGCACACACGCACGTCTCATTCACACCATGTCTGCCTGTGTGCATGCATACACACTGTCAAACACACAATGTAGACACCACAGGCACCCTTGCACATATACACAGTCTCCTGCCGACTGACACTCATTAGCTAGTGTTTTTTACTTAAATATAACTTCAGGCAGTTTGCGAGACTTTCTTCCTCTCATGCTCACATTCCACTGACGAGAAAGACGACCTAATAGTACACGTGGTACATTCTGTATGCCACAGCCACAGCAGCACAACAGTGGTTCATGTGGCAAATCTGTATGGTGAACGTTGCAAATGTAATTCACAATTGAGCTTCAGTGAAGTGTTGACTCGGTTTTATTCTGACCTGCCACCTCCATGCTCAAGGTCTGGTTACGTTTAAGCAACTAACTAACCACCTGATTGGTGAAGGTTCGGCTCGCGGTTAGAAGAAACCGTCTTTGGCTGTTGGTGTCAAGGTCCCACACTTTATGAGATGCTATGACATCATGCTACTTCCACCTTCGCTTATTCGTAGGACGACGCAAGGTCGGTATCTTTGATTATTCAAACATAATCACAGATTCTTCTGGTGAGGATAGTTCCTGATGGACAGTCAGGTTAGGATTTATGTAACTGTCTTTCTCACATTGCTTGTAGCCTTTTTATCGCCTCTTCACGGCCCGTATCATCTTTCAGCTCCATCTCTTGAACCACTATTGTTCGTATGCCGAGTGAATTACCCGATAGACTATCATTTATACAAGGGCAGTGCTTCCTCTCTCACAGGCCTTTTTCGCTCTTACTAATGTACTGATGGAAGCCCTGACTCTAATAAACAGAGCAGGCTGGGTGTTGCTGTCCTTGCCCCAGAGGGTCTCAGTAGATTTCCAGAGGCCCTTTAGACCAGCATATGAAGACGCAGACACACACACATTTAGAGACTGAAAAAAAGTGTCAAATTACGCATCGCCACGTTTCGTTTCGTATCCTCTCTTGCAAGAAAGCACTTGTTCAAACATAACACGTACACAAACACACACATGGGCGCCGTTAGCGGAAAAAAAACATCTGCTTGTACAAGCTCTCGCGTGTCCACTGATACAGTGTGTACACAATAACTCCGATACTCACAGACACAACAACCTGCAACCCTCCCCGTCTTAAATCCTGCCTACCCAAATGCACTGTTTCCCCGTGGCCTTTCTGCATTATAGATGAACCTTCAGCCAGCCAGCCCTATCGATCCACTCTCCTCTCCTCTCCTCTCCTCTCCCTGCCTCCCTCCATCATCAGTTATCTCTCCGCCGCCGTGTCACTCACGACTCGTTCGCTCCTCTCCGTCTTGTCACGATGCCTCCTTGCCCTCCTCCTCTCCCCGTCCTATCCTATAACTCTGCTCTATCTCCCCTCGCACCTTTCCCCCCCCTAAACTCCCCCTCCCGCCTCCTCGTCCTCTCCCTCCAGCTCTGCTCTCCTGTCACCCTCTCCCCTCTCTCCTCCCCTGTCGGCTCATCACAGGAGTGGCGAGGAATAGGACTAGCCGGTTAGTTTGATTGGCAGGTGGAACAGATAGGGGGCGGGGCATGAGGAGGTGGCTGTCATGACATGAACGTGCTTTAACAGGCAGTAAGGGAGTCGATAAGTTATCGACAGCAGAAAAGCAAGGCGTGAACAGTGTGCTGCGGCCCGGAGTTCAATTCCCACGGGGACCACCTCTATGCTGTAATGTATTTATTTGTGGATGAAAGTGGCCAGTGAATTATGTCTGTTCAATACGAAACGTAGTCATGTTCAATGCTAATGAATGGTTCTCTGTAGTTCAAAATGGCCCTGGCAGTGCCAGGGTTCAGCTCCCGCTGGGATCCGGATACACAGAGAGGGTTTTATATAAAGTGTACACTGAGTGGCAGAGGCTGTATGTAGAAAGGAAAAATAAGGCTAAAGAGAAACTGAGATCGCTGCAAAAAAAAAACAAATGACAAGGCAAGGAGAGGTAGAGAGGTAGAGGGGGAGAGAAAACAAACCGACAGGAGACGGAGAGATGGAGGGAAGCGGAGAGAAGCGTGGGCGGAGAGGAGACGGTAAGATTTGGTGACAAGCAACGAATGACTAAGTCAGAGAGGGAGAGAAAGTGTGTGTGCGTGTGTACGCATGCTAGAGAAGGGGACCACGTTCAGCTGTGTGCACCGCCGCTTGTGGATGATCTAGTGTCCAATCAAATCAGATACAGGTTGCCCCCGGAGCTGTCAGTCAAAACCCAATCACCGCGACGACACCTTTCCACACGGCACGCCCAGCCACTCAGATCCCTCTCCTCCCCTCGAGCTGCCCTCCCCAATCAAACTCACCGAACGTCACACTCCATTCCGTGATACACACTATTTTCTCTCCGTGGTCACATCCCGTCAGGTTCAAAAGAATAACTTACCGTATCAAATTCAATACTGTGTTTCCTTGACGCCCGGCAGCAAGAGCTTTCTAATAGAAGAGAAAGGAATTTGTGCTCGACATTATTTTTTATATTTCCCGTTTATTCCATCAGCACGGCCCGGGAGTGCTTGCATCACATCTCTGAGCTTGAATCATTTAACCGAGACTTTTTACATTTTGAAGTTAAAAAGCCTTTGCATAACGGAGATGTATTGCGTGCAAGCTTCCTCGCGTGAGCAAGGTCATGACCAGGGTTAGAATACGGCAGGTAACATGTAACAGGATTACAGTAATCTGCAACCTGTAACAGGATAAGGCCACATGCTATATTTCTCTCGCTGTTAACAAATCCCACGAAGGGCCAAAACCAGGAACAAGGAATGTATTACTCACAATGTCAGACTTTCTCTAAACGGTCATCGGGGCCATAGGAAGTCGTGATATCTGGCGACAGAATAATGATAATGCTACCAGTTATATTGATCTTGTCCTTTGTTTATTTTGTTACAAAAATAATGTGGATAGTCTGTAATCATAACTGTATATGTAAAATGATTCTTTTACATGATATTAACATATGTGTATTATCAACATGATGTCATTCTTCGTTTTTAAATGTGACAGTTATGGTCAATGCCGGAATATCGCGACACCCCAATAGAGAAGTATTGCCTCAGTAGTTAAAGTCTAATGAAGTTTATTCTGCTCCAAACTCATCAGTGAGACACATTATGGCACTCGATGATTGTTGTTATGATGGTTTATTTTATTTATAGGCTGTCACTAGTGCAACCGAACGTGTATTAATCCGCAGCTCAAAATAGTCCCCCCAACAAAAGCACTATTTGTGCTCCTGTTTGAGTTAGCGCTGCTAGTTCTCAGCTCTTTTAAAAGAACATAGTACGCCCTCTTTTGAAAAGATACAATAATTCATGCTTTTGTCCACATAGGGGCAGCGCAACATGTTGTAAACAACACATTCTATCACCTTATAAAAGTGTTTATAGCCGACGAGTATGCAAACAGGGGCTTGTTTATTTACCCAGCTGGCAGACACGGAGCAACATTAACATTAAACTGCGAGCTGTAAAAGCAAGAGCTGAGAAAAGCTGAAACACTCCACTGAGATGAAGCGCGGAGTCGGACGATTAGTCATTTCATCCATTGTTTTATAAAAAGATTGACGAGAGCAGCTTTAAATATGTCCGTCTTCTGGAACCAACGGCCTTGGGACTGAGTGGCTCAGACAGGAAGAAGAATATAACGTAATACCAGCTCCATCCTTCAATAACCTCTAACTGTAAAAAGACCTGATCACACAACAGATACTGTTGGTAGAAATAAGTGTTACAATTTAGCAAAAACACCCAACAGCGCATTCTTTACCGTGATAATAATTACAGCTGGGAGAGGGAGGAATATGCACCTCCAAAGTACCCATAATTGCAATAACGAATATCTTCAAGCGTATCATGACTTTTGTGCAGTGTTTATTAATGCATGCGTGCTAATTGAGAAGCTTCCACCTAGAGCTCGTAGCCATGAATACAAACGCAGATGTTTAGACAGGCATGCATGGTGGGAATCATCAGCGCGGTCTGACCAATCAGCTTCCCGCACTTAAACCACCTGCCGTAATACAGCGATTGACTTTTGAGCATTATGTGTATAATAACGCTGCACCAGTTACTGCCTGTGAATGCGAAGTTAATTGTTCAGTTAATTGCATATTATCCAACATTTGGAGGCGGTGGAATACAACAGCTGACTCCGTTATATTGCAGGTAACCAGACGATGTAGCCAAACATGACCATGACATGCTTGTTTTGAACTTCATGGCTTTAAAATTCACTTGCCTCAGGACAGCTAACTGAACGCTGCAGCGCTTCCTTTTCTTCTTTTTCAGCATTTTTAAGATTTATATTCCTAAAAAAGACACGTATTCAAAATCTTTGAGCTTCATACTAAAGTCCACACTCTCCCAAGTGTTTGCTCAGCAGCAGGTGTCAAGGGAGCAGACCATGTTTCTCATTAGCTTTCAATTTTTGCCTGGCAGCATCAACAGACAGAATTATTTGAATTTTTAGAAACATCTAACTGGAATTTAAGATATTGGTCTTAGAGATGTATTGTTCGTGCCTTTCCAAGCACAAAAGGCCACCTGGCCTCCATCACGAGTCTACAGATTGCACCTTTAGGTGTCGCTGAGGTTTTTTTTCCACATTTCCAAGAGCGATTAATCAGTCCGGCCCATTCAGGTCTGTCCCCGTTTCAGTCTCCCCGTCTTTGTAATTACTGTACAGCCCTTAAGGACTCGTACATTTACATAATTGATTCTTTTATCAAGACACGTCTCGCTATCTCTCTCATACACAATCTGTTATGCAGAATGGATTTTCTTTTTTCTTTTTTTTTAACGCAGGCTGATTTGAAATGCTGATCTTCGTTCTGTTGTCTTCTTCTCCCTCCATCTCTTTTAATCACTTTTCTTTTTTTCCAGCTGCGCCACTCCTCCCAGCCCCGTCCTCCTTTCCATCATTTTCTTCATCGTTCCTTTTTTCTTCCCACTTTTTACCGTCTGCTGCTACAACTTTCCTCAACTCTGTCCATCGTTCATTCTCTCCCTCAGTCCCTTCTTTTCTTACTGCAACATCCATCTCTTTCTCTTATTTGTTATCACTTTCTCTCCTCCCCTGGTTTCATCTTTTCTTTTCTCCGTCTTCATTCCTCCAAGCCTCCCCTCCCTTCCAACCATTTCTTTTCTTTCAATTTATACCTCACCCTTGATCATTTCATCATTTGTTTTCTTTGTCCTGCAGCGCTTGTCATCGCTCCCTTCCCCTCTTTTGATTTTTACTTTTACTTAGTATACTTCTTTCTTTATTTATTTTTTGAATTTGCAGAGCATGTACAGTTCAACTCAGGACTCATTCTTCATGTCTTCTCTTTCTCTCTCCTGTCCCAACAGGCCCACCTCCTTCATATGGGAGAAGAAGGACGGAGAGCTCCCCCCGATGGCCAAAGTCGACGGTGCTTTCTTGCACTTCGAGAGGCTCAATAAATCAGATAATGGCGTCTACCTCTGCCTTGCCGACAATGGTATAGGGAACAGCCAGGGGGAGTACACACTCCTGGTGCAAGGTAATAATGAAAAGTGAACAGCGGGAAGGAAGAATGAATAATGTGTGGTGGGGAAGAGGGGGGATGTCTTCTTCTTTTACTTTTCTTCATCACGTTTCTTTATTTCTGTCGATTGTTGTGGCTTTTGCTTGTACTTCCATCTTTTTTCTCTTCTGATTTTCTTTCGTTTCTTTCCTCCCGTTATTTTTGTTTTTTTTTCTCATCCAACCGCGCCACCATCACCAACGCCACCGCTTGCCATCCAACTGCTTTCGCTCGTTCTTGCGCTTTTTTCCCTTTCACTATTATCTGTCCCGTGCGTTCGATCCGTGGCCATTTTTGCGCTTTGCTTGCTCTCTCCCACTCCCACTCCTCATCCTCCTCCTATGCCTCCTCCTCCTCCTTCCAAGATCCCTTGGACCCAGACTCCCCAGACACCACCCTGTCCCTCCTCGACCCTCCAACCTCTCCCTCTTCCTCCACCTCCTCCCCCCCAACCTCCTCTCCTCATGACGTCTTCTCTAGCTCCAGCTCTGTTCAAACTTCCTCCTCCCCTCCTGACCTCACCTCCACTTCCTCCTCCCCTCCTGACCTCGCCTCCACCTCCACTTCCTCCTCCCCTCCTGACCTCGCCTCCACTTCCTCCTCCCCTCCTGACCTCGCCTCCACTTCCTCCTCCCCTCCTGACCTCACCTTCACCTCCACTTTCTCCTCCCCTCCTGACCTCGCCTCCACCTCCACCTCCACTTCCTCCTCCCCTCCTGACCTCGCCTCCACCTCCACTTTCTCCTCCCCTCCTGACCTCGCCTTCACCTCCACCTCCACTTCCTCCTCCCCTCCTGACCTCACCTCCACCTCCACTTCCTCCTCCCCTCCTGACCTCACCCCCACCTCCCCCTCCACCTCTTCCTCCCCAGACCCCGCCGCGGCTGACGCGTCGACCACCATCTCCGAATTCTCCACCACCACCCTCTCCAACGCCCTCTTCCCCGACCTGCCACTCTCTCCCTCCTCCTCCCCTCCTCCCCCTTCCTCCGCGAGCATCGCTCCGTCCACCGGCAATCCCTCCTCCCCCTCCCCATTCTCCTCCCTTACTCCCTCAGTTTCCGTCCGGCTGGATGGAGTTTACACTTTCACAGGTAAAACCATCTGAGTTTACACACTTGCACACACAATTGCAAACAAAAGAGATGCGAGAAGCTTAGTAATGGAGTGGAAAAACAAACACCATTCAAGCTACTACTTTGCTTCTTTTTTTTCCTTCTCAATACACAAACTGTGCTTGCATCGTGTAGCAGTCAAGGATACTGGGAGTTTGTTTTACATTCACAAACACACTCGCAAACACAGACACATACTCAAAGCTGACAGCGAGAGAAGAATTGCAGAAGCACAATGAAGGAAAAGTGCATTCGTGTGCCCGTTTCACAGCTGTTTCATGTCTTTATTTTTCTTGTTTTCCTCTTTCCTCCTGTTGATAATCCCTAACCCCACCCACGAACCCGCCAAACACACACTCCTCCACTCGTCTCACCAACCATCCATCCATCCATCCACTCATCCATCAATCTAAACGTCAAACAACCCATCTACTCATCCACTTGAGAAGATGCTGCCGACAACAGTGCAGGTATAACTTTTCCACCAGTCATCTGTCGTTCTGACTTTCTGTCGTTCTCACTTTTCGTCCACCTGTCTGTCTGTCTGTGGACCTGTAGGTCTGACTGTCTGTAGCTCTGTCTGTTTTTGCTGTCACTCTGGAAAAAAAACAAAAAAAAGGGACACTTTGAACTTCAGAGCGGAGGGATGAATATTTCACACTGCTGCCCACGTAATGCTTTGTTGTTGCCCATACATTCAGACACAGGCTCAAAACACACACACATGCACCCCCACACACACACACACACACATGTTCACATTGGGCACTAACATCTATCAACGCACACACGAGCATGACCCCTTAAGTGGTACAAGTCATATACACAGTGTTCCACTTCCTCTTTGTGTGTGTCTCTATATCTGTGCGTTTTTTTCTGTGTCTGTGTCTGTCTGTGTCTGTGTGTGTGTGTGTGTGTGTGTGTGCTGGGTGGGGTGGGGGTTCCGGGCTTCGAGGTGTTCTTGGGTCTTGTCTGCTTTCCTTTGATGCTGACAGCAGGATTTATGGGCTCATTCTCAGTCTCGCCTCGTCAGCATGCCCCTCTCACCTCCACGCCGGCCGGCCAGAGTGTGTGTGTGTGTTTGACTTTCTGTGTGTGTGTGTGTGTCTCATTCTGACTGGTGCTCAGAGTCTCCCCTCTCCCCACCACCCCTCCCCTCCCCTCTTCTCTCTGTTCTCTGTCTGTGGCTGGCCTCTGGCTGGCTGTTGTCATGCCCCTTCACTTCGCTAACTGGCTGAAATGTGACTGTTTTCCTCCAAAATTGGCCGTTCAGTCCATCATTTTGTGTCCCAGCTGGTTGTAATGTGTTCCTTCCCTCTTCAGATTCAGTTTGGCCTTCATTTCTCTGCTTGTCAGGGGCTGTTGGGTGTATAAGCTAGCTGTTTCCCCATATGCCCGGTTGAGTCCTTTTCCCTTCACATTGGTTTGACCCCTCAAACATTCACAAAGTGCAGTCTCTTCTTTCCAACTCCTTTTCTTTTACATTCCGTCTTTAAAAAAAAAAAAAAAAAAAGTCTATTTTTACGGTTGTGCCTTTCAAAAATGACACCCAGCGTCTGATCCGGTTTGAAAAGTCAGGCGGCATAAATGATGTATCAAATTATTTCTGCATAGATTGCTTTCTCCTCTGAGGGGCGAGTAGCTAAAGTGGCTGAAGTGAGGCAAACTGAAAATATCAAATCTCTGCTGTCGGGTGAAAAACTTGCAGCCTTTTAGAGACGAGGAAAAAGGGGGTGGGGGGGGGGGGGGTCTTATTTTCAGCTTGTCGGACGGCAATTGTTAACCAAACTTTCAGAAAATATTCTTGAGTTTACTGTCTTTATAATTTGGGATCCGCCGTGGCTGGATTAAACTCGCAGACGATTGAATCAAATGCTCACAGAATCAGAATCGGGGGGGCTTTTGGGGTGCCGGAGCAGTTGCCCCACATTCCCTGGTTTGTTAATCCAGCCTCGGATTCCTCTCGACTGAGTGTTTTCAGAGCGTCTTAGTCCACAGAAGAGCACAAAAGGGGGCAGTGAGTTCACCCGACATCAGCAGCCTTTGTTCCCACAAGGTCCTTACAAGTGCTCGGGACTTGGTGGGACTTGGTGGGTACACTTTGCAATCCTGTTGCATGTTAGTCACGAACAATCTTAAATGAAGGGTGACGTGGTGGCCCCCTTTTTTCTTTCGCCTGGCTTTTTTCTTTTTCTTTTCATATCCTTGTCTTTGTCTTCTGAAGGTTTGCCGCTGTGCCGGGGTATTATATATTGACAAGTCTTCTCCGCTCCCCTGTTCTTTTCTTTCTGCCTTCTCTCTTGTCACTCTCCCCATTATTCTCTCTCTCTCTCTCTCGTTCTCTGTTTCTGCTGCCTTTCATCATCTGTCTCCCGTTTCCACCAATATTCATACGTCTCCCCCCTCCTCCCTCTAAACCTCTGTCTCTCTTTCCCTTCTCTCTACTTATTTATCCCTCATGCTCTTATCGCTCTTTGTCTCTTTCTTTCTTATCGATTCTCCCCTTCCCTTATCTTTACTACACGACTACCATTTCTCCTCTCCTTTCTCCCCTCCCTCCCAAAACCCTCCTTCTTAAGACCCCACAGCCATGTCGACTTCTTCGGGTGTGGACCACGCCGTGATCGGAGGGGTGGTTGCCGTTATCGTCTTCATCCTGCTCTGCCTCCTCATCGTCCTCGGCAGATACCTCATCAGACACAAAGGTCACCTGCTCGCACACCCACACAGATACACGGGGAGGCACTCATGCATGCATGCATGAGATACACTGGCATAAATATGGATACATGCGTACCAAGATTGGATCTCACACGTACAAACATGCATATGAATACAAATGCACGGAGATGCAAATGCGCTCATACGTATATGTGCATAAACCTATTCTACTCTCAAAGCATAGATTGAATGAAAGACAATAAGTGAATGTTTATTCATTGCCTTTTTATACATTTTAGTTCAGCTTCCTGTGAGATAAGATTTCCTGACGCTAGCGAGATTTCAGCAGCGTAGTAAATAAAGTCAAATATTGGGAATAAAGTGATGCATTTGGACCGAAACGCTTCCCGTTCATGATGTTGGTTAGTTTCCCTGTTGCTCGTGTGCTCTGTGCGTGGGAGACAACAAAACAGTGTTTCTTTGTCTTTCGTTTCACTCTTAGTCAGTTCTCAAAAACACCCTTTTTAAGCACACAAACAAACAAGAACAAAGCAAATTCAAATGTCTCAGCTCCAGCCGGAGACAGGTGAAATTTAAAAGGCACTAAACGCGTTTCAGCTCCCAGGTGGCTCGGTTGATAAACACTCGCCAACCTCCCGCCGCCCCAGTGCGCCACAGCTGGTCCAGAATATTGAACACTTGGCATCTTGTGGCCACAGATGCCGAGTCTGTGAGGGATCGTGTCCGTGTCGCTGCACCTAGTGACTCCCTCCAGGTTGGTTAATGCACCTGTGTAGAGGAGGGTAGGATCTGGGGGGTGATAGCGTGAAGCTCCTCACTGTCTGGTGACTAAATGTGTACGAGTTCAGGGGCAAGCAGAGGAGCGAGCAATTACACGGACCGTAGTACATGAAAATGGGTCATTCCCTGTCATTTCATTGCCATTATGTGAGAGTAAATGCAGATAGTTCTCACTAATGAAGCAGAAAAGCAATCGATGAAACAACTAACAATATGTGCACTCAGAGGATAGTCCTCACAAAGCAATACTTTCCAAGGTCTTTACCAAAGTTTGGATCTCGTTAAAGGTCCCGTATTGCAGGGAAAAAAAAGACAGGCACACGGAGGTTTAATACAGGTATACTCAGACAGACAATATGAGAAAAATAAAGTGTTTTATGAACATTGAAGCATGTTAACACGTTCTATAACCCAAAATACAAGTATGAACATGAAAATAAGCATATGTCTAAAAACAGCAAAAAGAAGCCGTGAAGTTGCTCTTTGAATCTTAGGAAGAGAGTCACCTGGAGAATATCAACTCCCTGAAACACGGGACAGGGTTTCACTTGGATGACAAAGGCTTGATGGAGCCCTTTTGGAGGGCTTTGGGAGTACTTAAGTACTGATTTGTGGATTTGGAGTTTGAAAGACGTCTCGATATCTTGGGCTGAAAAGCTTTTAGATGTCTAGAGTAACCTCTGTTTCAACTGTTTTCAAAAAAATATATTATATTATATATTTAACTTTGAACTAAACATTGAAATACATTCATTGAAATGCTGTGAAAACTACTGATATATAACCTATAGATGTCTAAAAATGTTCACTTTTCAGTTGAATTTAGCCCAGTTTTTAACCGATCCATCTAAATGTCTTTGGACCTGCAGACACAGGATTGGTGGGTAAATAAAAAATAAAAATAATTTGACTTTAACTGACTTTTTACTTAGTTATGACCCAAAAAAAACCTCTCCATGGACAAATCCTGTATGGTATCCAGATAAACACATTCTTTTTATTTGTTCTCTGGACTTTTTGTGTCCTAGCGTTCCCACAAACTAGAGAACGCTTTACTACATAATAATTCAACAACAATAGAGAAAAAGAAAGCATCAAAGGTTATCAAAAGCACCTGAAGTTATAATTTAGACATCATATTGGAACATCTCGCCACTCCACTGTTTATAACAGTCCGTGGCCTTTTGTCTGTTTGTCTGTTTGACTTTTACTGCCTCAGCAATCTTATTTCTCCTTCCCTTCTCTCTCTCTCTCTCTCTCTCTCTCTCTCTCTCTCTCTCTCTCTCTCTCTCTCTCTCCCTCTCCCTCTCTCTCTCTCGTCTCTTCGACTCTCTCCTTCCACAGGAACGTATCTGACCCACGAGGCAAAGGGCTCGGACGACGCCCCCGACGCAGACACGGCCATCATCAACGCAGAGGGAGGCCACTCCGGAGCAGAGGACAAGAAGGAGTACTTCATCTAGACAGAGGACGGGAGGAGGAGAACCTGGAGGATGTGGATTAGGGGAGAGGGCAGGAGTAAGAGTGGGTCTGAGGGAGGGAGAGAGAGGGGAGAAAAACAACCTCCATTTGTTTTCACGACGCTTCAGTTCTTCACTCGGTCGGAGGGATGATGGGAGGGGAGGAACTGAGGGCAGGATAAAGAGATGCGTTGAGCTTCAGCTGGTACGACCCTCTTTGCATTGATACAGGGAAGTGAGAATTTGCACTGACATACGGATGAACTGAAGTTACACACACACACACACACACACACACACACACACACACATACATACACGAGTCAGTTTTGGGGGAAAACTCTTCTCACACGGACTTGAATGCTCGTAGATGCCCAGATTAACAAACACGAGCCTCCTTCTGTACTAACACGTCTGAATTCTTTCCGAATGACACGTTAACACACTTTCACACAAGTATCCTACTTCTAACTGTCAGCGCCTCGAAAAAGCAAAATTGTAACTCACATTCCGGCATCCCGGAGCTGATACTTCACTTGTCACACCTCGCAAAAACCCGTCTCCTCAACATTTAAACCAAACCGACTCTGTCTTTTAACATTTTTGTTTGTCCTCATTCTTTCCATCTAACAAGGCAGTATCCCTCTGTAAACACTCTGGTGGCAGACAAATCCATCCAAAGTCAATTATTACTGACAAACATAATCTCTCCTCCATCTCAGTTTAATCTTTTCACGCCATCGGACCTCTTCCTGCGTCAACCACACACCTTGGTACAAGCCGTTGAATTTCCCACAACGCAGCATCACACAACATGCAACACTCATGCAACAATAGCATTCCCCGCCTTGCGTTACCAAGCCAAGGGGCTCCAGTATACATATATAAATATATATATATAGAATTATATAGCATTCTTTTTACTTGACAGAAAAATGTTTGGTGTGCTGTAAATACACTCTCTCTCTTCTCTCCTTCCTCTGTCCCTCTTCTCTGTCTCTCTCTACATCTCCCTGTATCTCATACAGTCTGTTACTGCATTACAGTGACGCATATACTCAAAGAAAAAAAAAAAAGCCTGCCTGTTTTTATTACATGCGTGGAAATGCAGAGTTCAAAACTATCAATATCTGGGAAAAAAATAAATAAAAATAACAACGATGATGTTGCGATGAAAACTAACCTTAACTGCAAAATATTTGTACGAGGAATGTTTTCCTTCTTTGTTTATTTCTTTTTCTTTTCTTTTGGTTTTTCGAGACTTATGAGAGGTTTTCTCTCGTCGGTGTCTCAGTGTGTTACTGTCAGTGTTAACAGTTTACAGTGTCTGTCGGTGTGTTAGTCCAGGAGTCCACACATCCAATGTTTCCGACTTGTGTTTCTTTCCATTTTGAGGTTCATGTTTTTGATGCTGTCTCTTGTCTCTTTACTTTTCTTTTCTCGTGCGCCACATTAAAGTGTCGAACATTTCCCCTCCCTGCTTTGTCGGGCCCTCTGCTCCCAAACACTGAACTGTAGCAAAAAAACCTCGGTCGAACGCGGCTTCGGAAAAAAAAAGGTGTCAAAGTGTTTTGGTGGAGTTCTTCTGGAGTAGCACTGGCCCCGGCGCACGTGGTCTTCCTTCCACTTGGCTCCACTCCGCCATCTTTCTCCCTGCAGCAGACTGCTTGTCTTGGCGAGGCCACCTGGCGCTGTATTCATTAAGTAGTGACATCATGACTTCCTCTAAGAAGCTGGCACCGTCGCTGCTTCTGGGAGGGGAAAATGCTGGCTTGCTTTCCACTGCGGGGCCAAACAAAACTTCCTGGCAAAAAACAAAAAACCTTTTCTGTTATTGTTTCTTTCTCTGTGTGTGTGTGTGTGTGTGTGTGTGTGTGTGTGTGTGTGAGAGAGTGTTATTGCAAGCAGGAATCATTCGCCAGCTTAGCAAAAGGTTCCCATAAATGAACGGTGTTTTATTAGGGTTGGGAGTTCGCCTCGGCGCTGGCAAGCTCCACTTGGCCCGGTCGTGGAAATTGATTGCAATCTAACTAAGAGGCTCTGGGCTCCAGACTGTACGCATGCCAAGGTTCGGCTTTGTGGGCCAGGTGCCCGAGCCGGAGTCTGGGCAGCACTAACACTGAAGAAAGTCATTTAGGAACGTAAATGTCCTCTTCTCTTTTTCTTTTTTCCGTCTCCTTCCCTCCGCTCCACTCGTCCATTTCTTCCCATTCTTTAATCAATCATCTCGTCTGCGTCCTGATCCACCTTCACCCCGTCTCTCCTCCTCTCATCACTCCTTCCCCGCCCTTCATCTCTAATCGATGTCCGGTTCTCCTTGCTGGTCTCCGTCTCATTCCGGAGTCCGTAGACGTACGAGTAGAGGTAGCGTCTCTCGGTTTTGCTGGCGTGCGCTGATGGCTCTCTGCGGCACTTTTTTTGGGCGGTGTTCTCGAGCGGAATCCATTTGTTGTTGTCAGTTTACTTCTCGACGATCATGTCTGTGATAGCTTTTTTTTGTACACGCCCTTTTTTGGGAACGTTCAGGGATCGTGCTTTTCGTACCTTTCCCCGCATTGTTGTTAGCTGCTACCTAGCTAGCTAGTTTAAAAAGCAAGTGGCCCGGCTAGTGTGTCGATAAGCTAGCTATACTACAAAGGGTCACGCGACCTGAAGCAGGGTCAGCTGCTGTATTTTTCCCCCCTAGAGCTCTCGGTTGGAATTTGGGGGAGGGGGAGGGGCGACGCTGTCGTAAACTTGGCTTAACCAGTGTTCTGTTGGAGACTGTTTGCACCAGACAATTTGAATATTTCAAAGAATTCAGAACACTGTTTATTCCCATGTTTGCTCTACAACACCCTTCAGCGTTAGTACTCTTGTCTGCAGACCAGAGGATACTTGGGCTGTGTCTCACAGAGCTCTTTGTCCACTTTGAAGAGTGACCTTTAACCCCAGTCTAATTCTGCTCTGTGAATGGAGAAAAAGAAATACCTGCCTCATACTCAACAAAGTGTAGTGTCTTTTAAAAACGAATGGACCTGTATTTGCCTGTAATTTATCGTCCTGTCCTTCGTCTTAGTTAATGGGCTAGCATGTAGCTTGCATGAGAAAAGGTTGGAAATGTAGATAACGTTGGAGATGAGGAGTGCCGACAAGCATCTCTCCTGAGACAAGAGCTGGCGGTCTGCCCGACTGACCTCCCCCTGCTGCTCTCTGATCTGCAAACACAGACCGTGTCCCAGTTAAACCCGTCTGCACCTCCTCGGCACAGCAGCCCTCTGGATGATACTGAGAGAACTGAGGGAGTAGGACTCGTTCTGCTGCTCCCCCACCGCCGCCGCATCAAACCGGTGTAGGGGTGCAATGGCGTTGACATTGGGACGTCTAATTCATATTTCGCCGCGTCAGTGCAGTAATGACTAGCTGTCACCAGATGCCAGCAAACAGCAGCTTTTCTTTGCTTCCTTCAGTCAGACCGAGCTCTCCTGCGCCACCACTCGACTCTCACCAACTCCTCTTCAGGCAGTCGCACACTAGCTGCCAGTCATCGCTTTATTTTTGGAGTATAAACAAATTGATTTTTAAATTATGTTTTGTAAAAGGTGTGCATAATCTTAAATGTATCTCTTTCAGTTCAATTAATAATCATTGTCTTTCTTTTTTTTAAATTAGATTTTTCCAAATCTTGGAGGTTAGAAAATTTGATTTTCACATTTTATTGTTTCAACAACCATTTTTCTCTCCCTCTATAATTTCATGTATATAGTGTTGCCTTTACTGGATACTCTTACAAGCGCAACCATACACACTTTGAGCACACATACTTTGGGTACATACACATCCACACACATATCTGGGTATGCACGGCAGGCATGACGTCTGTGACTTTGGTGTATTTGTGCATATGTGTGTGTGTTTGTGTATGAGTGTGAGGTGTGTATTAATCGACCCAAACAGACCCCGGAGACACTCCTACGTGTGTTGCATTCACTAAAACGTTATCATTTCGATGACTGAAACAGCGTCTTTGTTCTCAGACTTATTATTTTGGGTGAAAAGTCTTCCTTTTGAATAAATATCCATATCACATGGGAATAGTGCTGTCATGTATGTTAATTTGTACTATGGCTGATGATGTCATCAAGGCGAGACCCAACCGCATGCCGTGGTGGGTCTGCGTCTGTTGGATTGTTCATACAGTAATTGTTTTTCTTGTTTTTTTTGTTTTTTTTGGTAAAATACCAGTTCAGTTGTTGACTTCAATAAACATGCATTTGGGTTAATTTCACCCGTCTCGTCATTGGTTCTTCGTGTCCAGAAGGTTGATCGGGTTTCTGCCTGGATCGGTCCTTTTCTTGTTGCGGTGACCAACCCCGGCATTTCCTCAAACAACTAAAATGTTCTGTTCCAAAAGGGAAACAACAAATCTCACTTGAAATATGCTCATGAATATCTCCAGAAGTCTGTATGCATTAGTCATCTAGTATTGTTAGTTATTGTACAAAAGACTGTGAACATTATCTTTTCAATGAATAATGGACATGATAAATACTCTCACAAATCCATTAACTACTCAATGTAAGACTTTAAATTGGTAACAGGTTCTTAAAATCTATATGCAGTTAATGACAATGTCCAGCAGAGGGCAGTGGAATGCAAGAATTGAAAGTTCCTTTGAAACTCAGCAGGTTGGTTGGTTTATCTCATTATTTTCTAACGGTGATTTAATAATGTTTTCTTTCTCTCACACACAAAACATATACATTAGTCTGTGGATGTTTCTGTCTTTCTTTCTGAGATCCTTGGTTCCTCTTATCTTTTCCTGCCTCCACTCCTTCAGTATGGACTGTGTTTGTAGAATACTGTTACTACATGTTGATACTAGTCTTAATTAAGATTAATAATCAGACTTACATTGTGCATATGATACTAGAACAGCACAAACTAAATTCACTTGTATCTCAACAGACACGATGTACATCGCAGGAACACTCAATTAAACATCACAGCACATTAACAAAATACACCAAAGTCCTATAGATAGAAAGTGAATATTTATCTATTCACTCAGGACTTTTGGGGCTCTGTTATTGACA